GAGGTGGGCAGGGGGCCGTGGGGGTCTGTGGGGTGCTGGAGATGCTCCCACAGAGGCAGGCAGGGGGCTGTGAGGTGGTGGGGATACTCCCAAGGAGGTGGGTCAAGGGGCCGTGCAGTGGTGGTGGGTCCCATCTTCCCACCGTGGCACTGACTCCAAGCAGAGGGTTGTCTTCTGCTGCATCCCTCCGTGCTTTCACTGATGAGTAACTCTCCTCGAAGCCCCCATGAGGAGTGGGTGGGCTGTTGTTAGACCCCTTGGTTGTTTTGCAGGGGAAGCTGAAGGCCAACGTGCCACATCTCTGAGTGTTCAGATGTTTGATTTTTTTTTTTTCCCATTCTTTTGCATCAAATAGTCTGTTTGAACAAGGGAAGAGGCTGTGGAGTCTCCATCCTTGGAGATGTTTAAAATCTAGCTGGTCACGGAGTTGAGCACCCTGCTCCATCTGACCCTGGTTGGACAAGAGGGTCTGCAGAGATGGGTTCCCACCTCAGCGGGTCTGGGATTGTGAGAAACAACGTGTTTTGGTTGCAAACAGAGCTCTCGCTGAGTTTGTGTGGAGATGCTCAGCGCAACCATCGGAGCAGAAGAAGGTGAGGGAACCTGAAAGGGAGCAAGCTGTGCTCATGGAGTGCTATGGACTGAATACTTGGGGAGGCTCTAGCAGTTGAAAGTGCCATGACATGGACCCTTCTGCCCTCAGATGGACCCTTGCCAGTTCCTTTCCTGCCAAATGGTCTTTTTGCTGTCCTCCCAGTTGTTTTGTCTCCCTTTCATTTTACACTCCCCTCCCAATCCTGGCACCCGTTTGCTGGTTTCAGTTTCTCCATCCTTTCATTGCCTCCTTGCCTTTTCCCTCAGAATTTTTCTTGTAGAAAAGCAAGAGCCAATACCTGACTGCTGAACATCAACGTGCTTTGTTGCGATGGTCAGTACTGAAAAGGCATTTTGATGAAAGATCACCCTGCTTTTTCTAACTGGAAATGTTTCCACTTCCAGTTGAAACTTCCTGAGCTCTTGTGGATAAACATCGTTGGCATTTTAAGCAGAAGTGGGAGGAGGAGGCCTTCTGGTGGTTTTGATTCCCCTACCCTTGTTCTTGGAAATGTCTCAGCTGATTTGGCTTAAAGCCTGAGGAACACTTCAGCCTGGCTTCTAGACTGGAATCCTTGTCACAAGGAGTCTGTCAGTGTTATAAAGTGAAACTACTTCTTCAATTTTGGTGTTTCCTTTTCCATTTTCTTTTTCTTTTTTTGTCTTGAGGGCAACCCACCATTTCTATATCTTTGCTTCCCACCAGTTTGGCACTGCCCATACGCTCTGCCGACACCTCTGGCTACCTGTGACAGTAGAGCTTTGTTCCCATTGTAATTTGGTCCTTTTCTTTTCCAACTCCATTTGTTTCCCCCTTAATTAAAGGATATATGTAACAAATTAATGATGAAAAAATCGAATTTTAGCCGAACAGCATCTCTCTCATTTGTGTCCCAGCAAATTTGCATTAGCCCTTAACTTCTGTAGGTTTACTCCAGATCAATTTTAAAAGAGAGTGGTTAAGAGCAGAATTTTAACTGCTGTCCAAAGTGGCTAAAAGATTGAAATGATTGAATAATTTTTTTCTTTATTATAAAAGAATAGTTCCGGAAGTGAAGCTATTTATACAATGGAAAAAATTGGGAAGTCCAATTAGCATTATATAGTAGTTGATTTTGCAGAAAAAAATATCCAGTCCCTGATATGTTGATTTATACTCCTTTTTAGCTCTTGGGGCTATGAGATGCTGTAGGGATTAGCTCCTGGCTGTGTCAGACAAGCACGGGAAAGAGCTGATAATCACAGAATCACAGAATTGTGGAGGTTGGAAGGGACCTTTAAGATCATCTAATCCAACCATCAACCTAACTCTGATAAGAAAAAATAAATATCACTAAACTATGTGTCTGAGCTCTATGTCAACCCGTCTTTTGAACACCTCCAGGGATGGTGCCTCAACCCCTTCCCTGGGCAGCCCATTCCAAGGCTTCATAACCCTTTCAGTGCAAAAATATTTTCTAATATCCAATCCGAACTTTTCAGCAATCTCCCTCTCCTTCTGAGTACTGCTCGTGTTTCCAAGAAATATGTTTATTTTATGGAACAGTGCACGTGTACACGAATACACACAGCTTTTGGTAACAACACTATCTTTAATCCAAGTTGAGGTTGGCTGGTGTTGGAAATTTGCCTGAGTGAGGCGTGCAGTGTCTGGCCTTCTGTTTATGCCAGATGATGGTGATGTATTGACTACACTTGGGTGGTGGCTGTTATTGGATGTGTTAATGGTGGAAAACCAAGGTAGGGGAACTGCACAGATATTCCTACAGATGGTGTTTATTGTCCACAAGCAATAAAAAACCCCTGTTTGGACAAAATGGGGTTTGATTTAACCTAGAACATCAGGCTGCTGACGTATCCCCCACCCTGTTTGGACAAAATAGGGTTTGATTTTAGCCTAGAACATCAGGCTGCTGACGTATCCCCCCTGAATCTGTGCCTGCTATCAGTGAAGACAAAAACTTTCCTGAGACTTTTCCTCCCACCAGCAAATAGGGAGATTGCCTCAGAAAACAAGAGCCCACACTTTACTCTGTAAATATTTTAACTCGGGAGTGTAAACAGAAGGCTTGATTCAATGCAGATAGCATCAGACATTGCTGAATGTATTCATAAAGAACAACATGAGCACTAGGAAGAAACTGGAAAGTTCAGAGATGTGGCCACGTTCCAGTCTGGCGTTGCAAAACTGATCTTTCTATGGAAATATTTAAATTGTTGTAATTAAACATGGAGGGAGGCTGCCCCGGCCAATTTTTAAATTATATGGAAATATTATTACATGGAAAAGACGAACTTACACTGTCACGTGGGACACGTTTCAGGGAATGCTTGCCTTTGCGTTAATTCAATGAGACAGTAGCAGCATGAGGAGGCTTCAGCGAATCTGAAATAAAAAGCTTTAGAAGATACTAAAAGATGCTATCAGCCTTTACGTTTTGAAATCCAGAGTCAGAGCTGAGGGAGGCATTGTTTGTGTTTTGTGCTCGCTATAGGAACCGACCCGTGTGCCTTGTGCATCCTGAACGCCCGCCACCTTGACGTCACGAGTAAGAGGGTGGTGGTTTTATTTCTTTTTTTTGTTGTTTAACCAATTGATTTAGGGTTA